AAGACAGTGCGCGTGACGGTGGCCCGTGCCGTAGGAATACGGGCGGGCAGAACTTGCTCAGCATGGGCCTGTGGGGACACTGTGCTGGGTCAGACTGCCTACTGGGCCTTATCCGGGCTGAGTGCGGCTCCCAGGGATGCGACCTCACCTGTGACTGGCCTCGGTGCCCCGCCTGTGAGCACGGGTGACTGCAACACAGCGCTAGTTGGGACATCCCCTGGGAGGGCACGCTGCCATCTTGTGGACTGAGCCAGGCTCACAGAAGTGGTTTATTTTGTCTACACAACACTTAGAATCTGAGCCAACGTTTCAAAATCAAGGTTCCATGCAAAGTCTGAGTTTCTACTTTGATTTCCTTAGAAAGGGCTGGGACCTGGGAGGCAGCCAGGTGGGCAGGTGCCCAGGTCCACCTGGACTCCCCCAGCACACCAGGTACGTGCGCCCTCGGCCCAGGGCCAGCTGCGGGGTGCCGGGTCATCATTGCGATCCAGGGTGTGTGTGTGGGGGGTGCTGTCTCCCTGTCTCTTTCGCTCCTGGAAGACATAAACCTAAAACAGGATAACGAGACAACTGGCCGTCCTCCCCCAGCACAGGCCCGGCTGCAGAGCTGCCTCTGAGACAGGACGGTGTCTTCCCTGGGTCCACCTGGAACCCTGGCCAGTCTAAACCGCCTGGATTTCCAGGCCTCCCACCAACTGCTGCTTCAGGTTACCTCCCTTCTCCATGGAAGCAGCATTCTGGATTGTGTCCTTCTGTTTTTGAGTTTTTTGCCTTCGGGTGTGTGCACTCGCTGGAGAAAGAGACAGTGCAAGGCGAAGTGAGAAATCACCCCCAGGGGTCTTGAACATGCGCACATGTGTGGGTGTGACTGTCAAACCACCAGGTCTGGGACTGGAACTGCAGTCAGCCATCTGGGTCAGACTGCCTACTGGGCCTTATCCGGGCTGAGTGCGGCTCCCAGGGATGCGACCTCACCTGTGACTGGCCTCGGTGCCCCGCCTGTGAGCACGGGTGACTGCAACACAGCGCTAGTTGGGACATCCCCTGGGAGGGCACGCTGCCATCTTGTGGACTGAGCCAGGCTCACAGAAGTGGTTTATTTTGTCTACACAACACTTAGAATCTGAGCCAACGTTTCAAAATCAAGGTTCCATGCAAAGTCTGAGTTTCTACTTTGATTTCCTTAGAAAGGGCTGGGACCTGGGAGGCAGCCAGGTGGGCAGGTGCCCAGGTCCACCTGGACTCCCCCAGCACACCAGGTACGTGCGCCCTCGGCCCAGGGCCAGCTGCGGGGTGCCGGGTCATCATTGCGATCCAGGGTGTGTGTGTGGGGGGTGCTGTCTCCCTGTCTCTTTCGCTCCTGGAAGACATAAACCTAAAACAGGATAACGAGACAACTGGCCGTCCTCCCCCAGCACAGGCCCGGCTGCAGAGCTGCCTCTGAGACAGGACGGTGTCTTCCCTGGGTCCACCTGGAACCCTGGCCAGTCTAAACCGCCTGGATTTCCAGGCCTCCCACCAACTGCTGCTTCAGGTTACCTCCCTTCTCCATGGAAGCAGCATTCTGGATTGTGTCCTTCTGTTTTTGAGTTTTTTGCCTTCGGGTGTGTGCACTCGCTGGAGAAAGAGACAGTGCAAGGCGAAGTGAGAAATCACCCCCAGGGGTCTTGAACATGCGCACATGTGTGGGTGTGACTGTCAAACCACCAGGTCTGGGACTGGAACTGCAGTCAGCCATGTGGGAGTTCAGCAACGTAACCGCTACGCCATCTGCAGCCCCGTGTCCTTCTCTTAAGGAGGTCAGCCCACCCCTCATTATACCACGTGTTAGTTACTGGCCTTTTTTATAGAAGGACTTTTTAATTTTATTTGTCATTATTATTTTTTAATTCAGTACAGGGCACATGTGCTCATCAGAGAGAAGGTTAGAGGGTCAGCCGCCAGGTCTGGGGCTCAAACCGTGGCTGGCCGTGTGGAAGTCCTGCGCCTTACCAGGCCACTGCTGCTGGCCCAGTCACTGGCCTTTACCACTGCACGCCTCCCTCGGGCAGGGACGACTTACCCGGCTAGCACGGCTCGGAGCCCAGGACTTGTACATGGAGCTGAGCATCTCGGCAGTACCCTCGCTGGCATTAGAAAACTCGGCTCCAGGGCCAGAGCAGGTCCATGGAGACTTAGTTCCGAACCCCAGACCAGCTTAGGCACCGAGGTCCTGGAGGATAACCCCTGCCCAGAAGGGCCCCGGGGAGGAGGAAGTCGGAGCAGAGGCTCAGGGGACAGAACCTGCGCAGAGCAGAGGGGCTTGCTGCGTGCCCTGGGGACAGCCTGAGCAAGGTTCCCAACTCCGCCCCACAGGTGCTCCTGAGCCGAGTCAGGGTCACCCAGCCAAATGCTCCTGCAGGAGTGCGTGCCTGGAGTCAGCACGCCGGCTAGCGGGGGGGCACGTGCACCGCGTCCTCCGGCTTCTTCCTAGGGGACCACAGGGCCCAGGTGGGCCACCAGAAACTTCTGGTCACCACACAAGTCTCACAGGTAACCAAACCCTCCTAATCTGCCTGCCTCGGCCACTCACCAGGGCGTCCTACCTGGGTTAGGGCAATAGCTACCAGCTCTAGCCAGCAGCCCCGGCGTCCTCGTTACCCTTCTCGACACCTTGGTGCCCGGATTATAAAAAGCAATTTCTAGAGGCCTGCAGATGGCATAATGGTTACATCGCTGGACTCCCATGTAGTCAACAGCGGTTCGAGTCCCAGACCCTGCAACCTTAAACTCATAACGGGCATGCGTGCCCAAAATCCCAAGAGGAGAACGGAGAAGGGATGGTGGCGTGGTCCACCCCCGGAGTGGGGGTGATTTCTTGCTTTCTGTTTCTCTGGGGAGCATACACATCCTATAGCAGAAATCTCTTTTTAAAAAACCTACTTCTCCAAGTGGCGTACATGTCTCCATAGTCTGGTCCCAGACCCTCCAGGCCTCCGTACTGTCACTGGAACACAGCCCCAGGAACGACAAACCTCTCCCGAGCTGAGGACCCCACACGTGCTACCAGACACGGGGAATCCCTGCCTTCATTTCAGGCAGCAGCCCATGCCCTGGGGCCCCCAAGCTTCCCAGCACTGTGGCACAGTCCTGGCCTCCGCACCTACCCGCACCTCCCTCACAGGGCACGTCTGAGGGAGAACCAGACGGTCTGATACATGTGAGTCCCAAGGCACACGGCAGGCGTGCAGGGAAGGCCGAGTAACCATGAAATGGAATGCTGCTCTCCCTCACAGCTAAGGGGCTCTCTCAGCTGTCTGTGCACCCAGGCCGCATCAAAACCTGACTTCTTACACCTCCTGTTTTCATTTGTGGTGTAAAGCCAGGCAAAGGCCAGTGTCTAACAAGCAGTGTGCAAACCCATGTAAGCGGTGCAGCCTGCCCTGCCCACCATGTGCAAACCCATGTGAGCAGCGCAGTGTGCCTAGCGTGGTGTGGAAACCCATGTGAGCAGTGCAGCATGCCCAGCGTGGTGTGCAAACCCATGTGAGCGGTGCAGCCTGCCCTGCCCGGCGTGGTGTGCAAACCAAGCGGAGCAGTGCAGCCTGCCCTGCCCGGCGTGGTGTGCAAACTGTTGTGAGCGGTGCAGCCTGCCCTGCCCGGCGTGGTGTGCAAACTGTTGTGAGCGGTGCAGCCTGCCCTGCCTGGCGTGGTGTGCAAACCCTTGTGAGCGATGCAGCGTGCCTGGCGTGTTGTGCAAACCCATGTGAGCGGTGCAGCCTGCCCTGCCCAGCGCACTGGCCTGGTACAGGTGGTGCCCCCGACCCAACCAGGAGCAAGGCCTTGGGAGTTCCTGTGTGTGCTCAGGAGAGGGAGAGTACTCCCTCAGTGTGGCATGGTCACACCACAGTCTCTTCTCATCCATTTCTGTGTCCCCTTGCAGTGTGGGTGCGTGCACACACCAGCCCCCTTAGCCACCAGGCCAGGCCAGGCTCTATGTTCCCAAGTTTTAGCAGAAGCTGAAATTCTTCTGGAATAATGAGCGGGGCGGACAAAACACGCCTGTCCACCGAGTGGGTACAGGTTATGTTTGGCTTGAAAACTACTTTACTCTCGGGTGTCCATGCTCACGTAAGCGCCAGTTTATCAAGTTACTCGCTGTGAGCGCGAATGTGCATCTGAGCAGCGGCCGCCCTAACAGGGCGCTTTTACTCTGCTCCCTGTCCCTGTACACGTGCTGCACGTGCCTCGGGCAGGTCCAATCACCTGTCCTGCAACCAAGGGCACCCTCCCATCCCGTGGGCCTGCGCAGCGTCCTACCCAAGATCATTAACCCCGCCAGCGCAAGGAGTCGCGGCCGCACAGACCCC